TGTGTGTGTGTGTGTGTGTGTGTGTGTGTGTGTGTGTGTGTGTGTGTTTGTACATGCTCCATAATGTATGAACTGATCTGAAGGACCTGCTTGTCTGGACCAGGAAGCTCCTCCCTCTTTCGCCAATCGACGTCATTCAGAGGCCTCGCCGACCTGTGCGTGTGTGTTTTTAAATGTGTGTGTGTGTGTGTGTGTGTGTGTGTGTGTGTGTGTGTTGCTTCCCAATCACTGTTCCTTATCAGAGACTCAGGAAGACTCCCCCCCCCCCCCCCCGGCCGACGTACGTACACACACACATGAACCAAACCCACCGCCGCATGTGTAGCAAGCTGCATCCCTCTCCTCACCATCCGTACAGCTAGAAGACAAAGACAACCCGAGGATATCAGCGGAGTTCAAAGAGAGTAATATATGTTCCGTAGACATTTATAGTGAGATATTTATTGGTGAATCCTGTGTGAGACGGCAACGCGAGACCTTTCTGTTTTTGGCTGGGGCTGTGGGTTGTGTTTGTTTTTCCCCTTCTTGTTTCCTGGATAGAAACAGTGAGTAGCCGAGAGCCTTCATCCCAGAGTTGTTGAAAGAGATTTAGCAGCGATAGACGTGATTAAGACAATCAATATGGTTATGACAAATGTGTTGAATTAAATGTGTTGGGTTCGTTAACTGTGCTCTCAAACAGCCTCCTCTCTGTGAAATGCTTTGTTCTAGTTTCGCCGATGACGGATCCTGGACGGAATCCGGTTATTTTATTTTGTTTTTACAAAGATGGAAGATGTTTCAGAGCACTAACTCGTTGAGTCGTTTCCTAGGGTGGGTTGTCTCTGTGTGTGTGTGTGTGTGTGTGTGTGTGTGTGTGTGAGTGTGAGTGAGTGTGTGAGAGACCAAAATGGCCATCACCAGACTTGGTGGGAACAGAAACCAAAAGAGGGAAGCTTGAACACATTCTGACTAGAAAATACTTTAAGAAATCAGAGACTTTATTTATTGAGTTCGGTGTGTGTGTGTGTGTGTGTGTGTGTGTGTGTGTGTGTGTGTGTGTG